AGACTCAGCAGCCGTTAGAAGATATGGCAGTTGTTTGATAAAGCCCATTTATGTCCACTAGAGCCTATAACAGGTTGGCACATAGTGGAGAATAAAGAAAACATTACTTAGTTTTTTTTTTTTTTTTGAATGTTTTATTTATTTCTGAGAGAGAGCGAGCGAGCGAGAGAGGCAGTGTGAGCGGGAGAGGGTTAGAGAGAGGGAGACATAGAATCTGAAACAGGCTCCAGGCTCTGAGCTAGCTGTTCGAGTGGGGCTTGAACCCACGAACCGTGAGATCATGACCTGAGCCGAAGTTGGTCGCTTAACCGACTGAGCCACCCAGGCGCCCCAACATGACTTAGTTTTAACTGTACAAGTAAAATAAGTTTAGAGACCATCCCCAGAAGAAACAAGTATTCCTCCTCATAAGCCAAACAGGATGNGAAACCAAGAGTTGGAAGCTTAATTGACTGAGCCACCCAGGCGCCCCAACATGACTTAGTTTTAACTGTACAAGTAAAATAAGTTTAGAGACCATCCCCAGAAGAAACAAGTATTCCTCCTCATAAGCCAAACAGGATGACTTATTTTGCTAGGTTTCTACTGAAAATAAAGTGCCGGCATTTTTCTCATCACTGCCCACCATCCACCAACCACTGCTTTGTTAAAATGTTTCCACAAACTGGCATGAATACTAGGATGGCCAGTCTTCACTGAAGATTAAAAAAGAAAGTAAGAAAGTCAGTGAGTGTGGCGTCCTCCCTAGAGACAAAAGCGAGTCACAAGACAGGAAGAATGACGGGGAAGCATCCTTTGAGTTATGTGGCTCTGGAAATGAGGCTTAAGGGCTGCCAGGCTTCGCAAATTGCAGCCTTCACGAGGATGCCTGTTTTCCAAATGCCTCTTTCAACCAACACATTTTCAGCCTAACATTTGTCAAACCTCTTCTTTTGTTAAGAGTTAACTTGTCAGCTTTTAAAATGGCTTGCGGTTCCTATCCACCTTCCTTGATGGAAATGTGAAAAGTGTGAGTTACTCCCTTTCACAAAGAATCTTGTCAAGGATCTTGACTCTAATCTGACTTCTCCTCCTGGGGAGAAAAAAAAAAAAACCTACTTCTGGAAACTTAGCAAGTGGTGACTATTCTATCATAATTCTGCTTCACAGAACTAAATGAGGTCAAACAAGGAGAAAGCCACCACCAAATACGGCGTTAAGATGTGACTGTCTGGCTCAACAAGGGCCTGAAAAACACTGACGTACTTGTAGGGTTTGCTCCTTAACAACTCGACCGAGAGACTTCTTTTATGCAATGACATCAGCCGGTTTGTCCCCGTGGCTGAAAGTATGATAAGTAACAAGGAACAGCCCCCATCTGGGCTGCAAGGAGGTGGACATGATGAGCGCCCTAAGCCCACCCTGCAGACGCTACCTCAACACTTTTCGGGCCACACCTCCCCACATCCCTCCCGCTCCACAGCTCAAGTTCCTAGGTTCGTCACATCAAATCCTCTCAGAGCATTTTAATTCCTCCTGAACACTGATTGCACTGTTTTGTTTCAAATGTCCGCATCTCCTCCTGGAGTCCATTAGAGCCTGGAAATCAGATAATCCATCTTCTCCCCCTGTCGCTGCTCTAGACTCAGGTGGCCTCTGAGGATGTGCCTGGAACATGAAGGTCGGTGAAAGTCGACCACAGACATGAATGAAAATGAGACATGCCCGTAAGCTGTTTACTGATCTCACCTAGGGAACGGGTCAATTGGTTAGAAAAAAGGAAAACAAGGAAGGAGAGTCGTTGGCAATGTAAGTGCCAAAGCAAAATTAAAATATGCTTTCATGGTAGTCGTCTAAAGATTAATACCCAAAAAATGGGTCTTTTTGCTGCAAGGGGTATATGTGGGCTTATACAAAAAAAAAAAAAAAAAAAAAAAAAAAAAAGTACAAACAAGAGTATAAACTGACTCTTTTAGAACAGAATATCTAAGATGAAGGTGCTGAATGTGAAATTGGCTTTTTTGAAAAAAATATGTGTAATGAATAAACTGGCTGCTTCAAAGTCATCACATGCTCAGCTTTAAAAAAAAAAAATAGCCAAGTACTTGCTTAATTAGAATAACATTTTTTCAGGTAGTTGATAAGGATGCAAAAAGTCCTCTAATTAGGAAGTGGCTGCAGAAAAAAATGAAAGAATTAAGTTGGGTTCTACTTACATGAGAACATAGTAAGGTACAGATATTTATATAAAAGAGGATCTTACCTTTTATTTTTTAAGCTTATTTATTTTGAGAGAAAGTACGAGTCAGGGAAGGGCAGAGAGAGAGAGAATCCCAAACAGTATCCTCGCTGTCAGTACAGAGTCTGATCTGGGGCTCAAACCCACGAACTGTGAGATCATGACCTGAGCCCGAAACCAAGAGTTGGAAGCTTAATTGACTGAGCCACTCTGGTGCGCTTAAGGGGACCTTACATTTTAAAACTCAGTGAAACATAATGGTGGCATTTTTTTGGAAGTACTATTTTTAAAAAGACTAAGAGTCTGACTTATTACTAGTTAACAGTCCGCGTGTTCAGCTAGTGTGTTGAGTAAAGGAGGGAACACAGGTAACATGGGGGAATGGGTCAAGGACAGAAAGCTCAAGTACAGAGCGGCTAACACTTCTCTGCTTCCTAAGGAGGAGAGAAGGGGACAGCTCTGAAGCAATTCACTGAGGGTCCCTGCCCTAAAGGAGGTCATGTCAAGGGTATCCTCCCAGTGGAGGGTCCCACAGAAGACTCCTCTCAAAACAGCGAATGGAGTACTAATTGGTCCTCTGAGAAAGGGGTGATGACTGTCCTGTGCTTATTTAAGCTTCTGCATGTTCATGTCACTGTATAAAGGATAATGTCATTCTCCATAAGGAAACAAAAAGTAAGCTAGTGGGTAAATTGCTTACATTACTCTGATCCTCAAAACCAGGATGCTAATAAGAGAGATGGGGCCAGAGACATCAAACACGCTACTGATGAAAACGCTGTGTCACAGGGTCCCTTTCAAACAGCCCACTAATGAACTCAATCAAAGCAATGAGCCTCATTCACCCAAAATCCTAACCATGTTCAAGCAACTAGAAATAGTTTGTAACATAACAGCTCGTGTGTAATGGTGACTAGTTAAGGACTCTGAGATAATACAACATCCATCAATTCAAAATGTAATCTTTTAAAATGAAATTAAAATTAGAAGCGCCTTTACAGGCAATGTACTCTAACACTCTATAGATTATAAATTAATGGACGATAAAATAAAACAGGGTTGTCTAGAATGAAAAACAGAATATTTTCCCCAGTTCTGAGTCAATAAAAGCTCGTTTTTGTGTTCTTCTGTCTGTTAAGATGTATACAATGATTTTCTGAAGATACCCTACAAACCAAGATCTACGGAGACGCTCATTTATTAACAAAACAGACCTCTGCGTAAAACCGATGATAGCAATGGTTAACAATTTAAGAGGAGAAAATGAACAATATGCTGCTCATTTGCAATTATATTTTCACACATTTTCATAATGAGCTAATTTCCAAGGCTGAGCTATATTCATATTTAAAGAAACTATATATATATATCGTTGCACATAACGATGTGGCCCATGAAACAATAAAACACATTTTATACTTCTCTTAGTTAACTCTTAAGGCAAGTCTTGAAAGGCATATTGTAAATGTCACTGTGTTATCTTAAAAGAAATCTAAATCATGCTTTACGCGGCTTTCGTATGTGAGGATATGCTATCATTTCAGTAATTTTCCTTTTTTTTTTTTTTTTTTTACAAATAGTTTATTGTTAAGTTAGTTTCCATATAACACCCAGTACTCATCCTCAGATGTTCACCTATTTAATTTTAATGTCACTGTCCTTCCTGGCTCACCTTCTCTGTGGCTCTACCTGATAGAAACGGGGCTACAAGCCCTAGCTGCGAGACCAGGAACACAGCACAGGGGAGAAGGCTCCAGGGCCGCACAGCTGACCATCTACTGACTGCCCTGTGGGCTAATCCTGACCCGCTGCCCCAGCACTGACTCAGTGAGGCCTGTGTTGAGTGGGGGCCATTGTTCGAATCCCGAAAAAGCAAACTCCTAATTGAATGTGATCTTTAAAGATTCTCTCCCTCTTCTCTAGTAGCTGGGATGTTAAATTCTCAAAGGATGGGGCCGGACACGAAATCTGATTTAATCAGACTGTGGATCCCCCCCCCGCCCCCGGTCTCTTCTGTATTTGCTTAAAACTAGAACACCCTAGATTCCATCATTAAGGATTGGAAGCATGGTGATAAATGATCATTTTGATTTAGGGATGGGGGTGGAATGAGGAGGTAATAATATCAAAAGATGTGGGAACGACAGAGCAAATGGGGGTAGGAGCATTCCGGCTACCCTCTGACTCAATGAAGAAGAAACAGGTGTGGAGAGTGAGGCTCTAGGGCTGGCTCCCCATGGTCACAGTTGACCCAGGGCAAGGACTTAAAAGATTTTGATGCGGTGACTTATGTTGGCTGATTCCTCCTCCTCTTTTTCTGCCTTTTCTTTTTCTCTTAAAGAGATTATCATCTCGCTAGAGTAAGAACTTCTAAAGAATAGAAGGATGCTCTGCTAGTATCTTCTCCTGATGCTATAAATAAACTGCTTAACAATTTTGTTCATAACATTTGTTATTCTTTGCATTCAAAGGAGAAAAAAGTATGTGCTGCTCTTAATGTGTCTGGTGAATTTCGCTAGTGCCATGAATATTCAATGAATTTAATGCCTTAGAATTTTTCTAAACATCTTGGGTGTAAATTCCCCTCGAAAACGTCAATTAATTAAAAATAATCTATAAATAAGAGACAATTACTACCTGTGGTTATTAATAAAACATTTAAAAATACTATAAGCTAACTGCCACCGATATGACAATGTCATAAGATAGTTTTTAAAAATGGCATAATTACAAATACTATAAAACGACAGTCTACTATTTTAGGGAATCACAGTCTACTTACTATTTGTATGTCTCAGAACGGATATATTCAAACACGTGGGACACACCAAGCTGGAACTGATCAGCAATTGGGGTAACCCAGGGATTGTTCTCTGCCTTGAACACTTGCTTCTGACCCGTTAAATCCAAGTTGCCTGAAACGATGGAAGAAAAAGAGAAGAGGTGACGTTCATCTCATCTAACACAAATAAAGTCTCAGGGGTCCTGCCCAGTAACCACAGCACAACCCAAAGTATCTCTTGGATCATTTGATTTGTTTTTTTTAAAAATATGCTACTTCAAGTCCTTACTGGTATGCAAGAAATATTAGGGACAGTACCCTGGCCCAAGAAATTAACCACGGAAGGAAGGAAGGAAGGAAGGAAGGAAGGAAGGAAGGAAGGAAGGAAGGAAGGAAGGAAGGAAGGAAAGGGAGTGAGGGAAGAAGGTAGGTAGGAAGGACATTTGGAAGAAGTTCTTACAAATGCAGCATATGCTTTATTTTTCCAGGTATTGGTTACAGAGAAGGAAATGATCCATCCAAGACTGATTCTTTTGGAACCTCCAGAAATCTCATTTGACAATGTACATCACTGCTTGCCCAATCTGATCTCAACCCAATCCAATCAACACCAACATTCATCAAAGCAGACCATGAGTGAAGGAAGTTAAGAATGTTGCCCCAGGTAAAATTATTGTTGCATTACTCAGGTACCATCTAAGCACATCATAGAATCAGCACTAAGTGAATCTCAATAACATGGAAATACTAGAAACTCACATCTGTATAGTCCTTATCGGTTGATGAATTAGCTTTAAAACCCATTCCTTCATTTGATTATCCAGCAATCCCAAGGTCAATAATTGACATCACTTTATAGATGGAGAAATGGAAACATGGGCCAAATTAAGTAATATGTCCATGATCTGAAAATGTAAAAGTCAGAATTTGAACCCAAGACTTCTGACTCCAAAACTTATATTCTTTCTGTATTGTCTGGTGAAGCTTTCAGGTTACATATCCTAGATCAACCACGGACGAGTTAAGGAAAGTAGCCTAATAAAGCCACCAAGTGCCACCCATCTGAATATCATCGTTAATAGTCAGTTGACTTTTTTTTACCACCCTGTTTGGTATATTCAAAAATGGAAACGGCTACATGTGAAAGAGCTTCCCATCACACACTTGCCTACACAAGAGACAGGGACAGTGTAGTTTTGGAGCAGAGATGTATTCAGATTACTTGGCATCAGACTCACCAAAAGCCTTTCCCGACAGGCCCTACTGAGGAAGTCCATTTTTAGACTTCCAGCCTGCAGGACAAGACACCGAGCGTTTTTTCTTCCCAAGATACAACCAAAGTGCCATGCCTGTCCAGTTTTGAAACATTACTTGCCAATTATGTCATAACTGATAACTCAGGATAAGGAAAACACATTCTGGATGGACGTATACCACAAAGCACCTAATTTCCTAGCTGATCTGAGCGTAAGAAATGAACAAACATTTTTACTGGGAGGATGATGTAGTATTTCTTCTCAGAACAAAAGAATGGATGGTTTCAATTTGTCTTCTTTTTGTTATATGAACTTGTAACTGAATCAGAAAAATAAAGAAAAGACCAATATAAAAGTGATTACAACTTAATAAAATGCTCTTCAAGAAAACAGATATTACCAAATATGATGAGTAATTCATCATCTTTCCAAAGCTACTTAGAATCTTTTGGTGTGAAGTACAAAAATAAGCAGATAAATTTCTCTCCAAGATTATCAATATTGTCAGTTTCCTCATCTTAATGGTTAAACATCATTAGTCAGATATTAAATCATTTGGTAAATTATTGGGCTTTATTCTCTACACCATGAGTCAGAAAACTGCCTAGGGCAAATGAAAATCCACAGTTGTACAAATTCTCTGCTTAGCCAGGTATTTTACTTGGGTGTGACCTGTAGGTCCTGAGCTATTTGTTTTTATCTTCTCTTGGGGAAGGGTTTTAGCTTTCCAAGAATAATAATTGATATCTTGTTTAAATTCCTCTGTAATTATTATCTTCTTTTAGGATCTTATTTGCTAAACTCTATGTCCTCTCTTCCACATAATTCTCTTATTACATTACTTTTTCCCCCAATTTCTAAAAAAGAATGTCTGAAAAAAAGTCTTCCATTTAAAAACAATTCTAGGGGTGCTTGGGTGGCTCAGTCGGTTAAGCAGCTGACTGTTGATTTCGGCTCAGGTCATGATCTCACAGGTCGTGGGACTGAGCCCAGCATCAGGCTCCACGATGACTGTGCAGAACCTGCTTAAGATTCTCTCCCTCTCTCTCCCACTGTCCCTCCCCTACTCTCCCCTCTAAAAATAAAAATAAAAACAATTCTAAAAGAGAAAATAAAACCAATTCCATATTTTTTTTAAAACAAGTTAATGCTTATTTATGAGGGACAGAGATAGAGAGAGACAGACAGAGCATGAGCAGGGGAGGGGCAGAGAGAGAGGGAGACATAGAATCTGACGCAGGATCCAGGCTCTGAGCTGTCAGCACAGAGCCCGACGCGGGGCTTGAACTCACGAACTGTAAGATCATAAACTGAAGTCGAACACTTAACTGACTAAGCCACCCAGGCACCCCAACAATCCCGTATTTCTTAAGTGTCCTGTTTTAAACGTACAGTGAATACATTGCTCACTGTTCTTAGGAACCATGGTCACTGAAGAAAGGCCCCACAGCAGGGAGCAGTCACCATGAAGTAGCAAATTTGCTAATAAGCTGGGGGTGGAGGCACTAGAAGTGAACACATCTCTTATAACATTCACCCAATAAACAAGCTATCCTGCCTCTGAGGCCTGCCCGCTGATATCAGCATGAGATCAACTATGAAAAAGAAATAACAGAGACATCTGGAGAAATTTACGTGTTCCAAAGTGGCTAAGAAAAACAGGAAGCCACAAAGGGCATGAATTGCATTAGGAAGCAACCCAATTCCTAAGCAAGGGGATCTCCCTGTTAGTGGCTACTCTGACCTAAAGATCCTTCCTCCTTGTTCCCCCAAATCGCTCATCCTACTGAGAAATACAGTTTGAATTTCTAATGGGTATAATTTAATCTGGGACTCCCCATCATTCACATATTACCATGAATGAACTCAACTGGATTGCTTTCCTCTTAACACGTGCTTCAGACGGGGATCACAGGAATACCACTGTTTAGTTTGCGGAAAAAGACGAGTTGGATGAGGGGAGGGAACCAGATCCCTGGAGCACAGAGCACTTCTCACCGGCTGTGTCCTCAGGGCCCTGGGTTCGTGTGAGAAAACCATGGACTGGGAAGAGTCTCTAGGAAAGACCCCACAGGCAAACCTCCGCTCAGGGATGACATCCATGGGACAGTGAGAGAAAGAAAACAATCGTCTCCCCTGGGCTGCATCACAAGCTCCCTTCCAGCAAGGTCCAAGGGCTGCCCCGAGAACGTGGAAGTACAGGTATGCTATGAGCAAAGCAAATCTTAATGGATTATCTTTGAACGTGAGATGCAAGTACATAGTTCTAGGAGAAAGAAGAGCCTGCTTTCTACCACCTACCACTTACAGACCCACTAGGGAATGTACGTGGCCTCTTGTTAACTTATTAGCAGCCTCTTACAAGTCCGGCAGCCTTTTCAGTGGTAATCCTCTGAAAATCACGTACTCAAGTTCTATGCTCCCCGACTGCCACACATGGAAGACAGAGCTAGGGGAGTAATGCCAAGAAAGGTCAGCCGTGTTCTCTGGGCCCTTTGGTCTGAAGCCTCTAACCCCCTGGAGATCTGTCAATCCCTACCAATGTCTTTATTTAACTGCTGTTGATGGAGACAGAAGAGGCAGAGGGGACTGTTAATGACGTCTGCTAACTGTGCTGACTGGGGCACACAGGAGACCGGGATCCGATCAAGACACATACCCTTTGGGGAAAAGGAGAGTGAAAGTCGAAAGTAGGGCTACAACACAAAGGACCACGGGATATTCATGAGCGTTCTCGTCTCTACCACTTCGTACTCCTCTGCGCATTCTAGAGGGGGAGGGGCCTGGGGCACCCTCTCCTCCACCCCCATTGGCTTATTTTAATATCAAACAAAGCTACTCAATACGGTTCCCAGATCTTCATAGGGCTGCCAGGGTCGGCTGGGGAGCAGAACAGGGTGACTCAGGTTCCCTGGGGGAGGGGCGACCCAAAAACAATAGCTCAGGGGTCAAAGCTGTGCTTTCCTCGTAAACAAAGGAGCAGGAAAACCATTTCTAATGTTCACAGCAAACCCTAAAGCAGACAGCTATTGTAGGTGACAGAGACGGAGATCGCCCGGGCCAAACCCAGGCGCTGCCTCTGTAGAGGTAAAGCCCGGCTCAGCATAATAGGACGCGCTTATTTTGTTTTCCAACTTAACGCCATCGGCGGGGAACACAATACCTGCCTCTGCGCGGCTGTAATCTTCCCGGCCGGCTATTTGTCTCCCGCTTCCCCTACCTGACGGCATGCCGGCCCGGAATGCAGCAATTTCAGAAGGGGGTTAATATAATTAGAGTAAAGCTAGGCCATTATACCGTGTGAAAAGATGACACCCGCCTCAGATTGGCCTAGCAACAAGTTACCCTTGCCTCAGCAAAGCTCATCTGTCAGCTGTCGGAGGTAGGTTCCCTTTTAAGCAATAACATGCAGGAAGCATCTCGCCCCCGCTGTCAGTCAGGATGCCATCCCCCTCGCTGCCGCACGCTCCAGTGCGTCTAGTTAGGCGCCCTCGCCCAGCTCCTTTATTAGAAGCCTGCGCGGCGGGCTGGTGGTGTTCTAACAAGGATCAGGCAGCAGGATTAAGCACTGTGACAAAGAGGATCTAATAAGCTAGAAAGTGGTGCATCCATAGACAGGCTGGCTGGCTCCCAGACACAGATTTGCTCTGCTCACTGTTCACTGGGAAGGCCCAGGCCACGGGGGACGCCAGCCAGCTCCGTGATTAGCGGTGACCCCCTGACCGATGCTGCTATGAAGATCATATATCACTCAGAGGCTTAGTCTGCAATTGCAAATTGGATTTGCCATTTTATTACCTGCGAAAGGCCCACATATGCTTCTTTCCAAAGCCACTGGTACAGTAAGCTTTGCCGCGCGACAGTCATTTTGTAAACA